TACAAGTTCTTTGACACTCCTCCCTTCAAATGATGGAAACTAATTCCCCACACCTAGGAATGTGCACTAGACTTAAGGATTCACTTTTAGCTATTAATAATAAAATATGGTGGAAATAATGCTATGTGACTTCAAAGCCTAGGTCATGAAAAAGACAGCTTCTGTCTACATCTCATTTAAATTATTCACTCTGGGTGAAGTCATCCACCAAGTCATGAGAACACACAAGCAGCTTATAAAACAGCCCATATGGGTCAAACATGGTGGCTCACACCTATAATCCAAGCACTTTGGGAGGCTGAGGCAGGCAGATCACTTGAGGTCAGGAGTTTGAGACCAGCCTGACCAAAATGGTGAAACTCTCACTCTACTGGAAAAAAAAAAAAAAATTAGCTGGGCATAGTGGTGCACATCTGTAATCCCAGCTACTTGGGAGGCTGAGGCAGCAAGAATCACCTGAACCCAGGAAGTGGAGGTTGCAGTGAGTTGAGATCATGCCACTGCACCCCAGTCTAGGCAAAAGTGTAAGACTCTGTCTCAAAAAACAAAACAAAACAAAAAAACCCATGTGAGGGAGCAGTCTCCCACTAATCACCAGCATCAACTTCACAGGCACTTGAGTGTGCCTCCTTGGAAGCAGATCCTCAAGCTCCAGTGAAGCCTTAAATGACTGTAGCCCATGTTATACTAAAGTATCTCCCCCACAGAAATCAGCAAATGCTACAAATCCATACTTTTTTTTTTTTTTTACAGAGAGCTGCACATGACCGTTCATATAATTTTTACTATGTGACATGCTATTTTATGCACTTTACATATATTAACTCATTTAATTCTATAACAATTCTATGAAATAGTAACTCTTACTTTGTTTTGCTTTATTTTTGAGACATGGTCTCATTCTGTCACCCAGGGTGGAGTGCAGTAGTGCAATCACAGCACACTACAGCCTCAATCTCCTGGGCTCAAGTGATCCTCCCACCTTAGCCTCCCAAGTTGCTGGGACTATAGGTACGAGCCACCGTGCCTAGCTAATTTAAAAAAATTTTTTTTTGGCTAGGTGCAGTGGTTCATACTTGTAATCCCAGCACTTTGGGGGGCTGAGGCGGGCAGATCACAAGGTCAGGAGTTCGAGACCAGCCTGGCCAACACAGTGAAACCCTGTCTCTACTAAAAATACAAAAATTCGCTGGGCGTGGTGGCGTGTGCCTGTAATCCCAGATACTTGGTAGGCTGAGGCAGAAGAACGGCTTGAACCCGGGAGGTGGAGGTCTCAAAAAAACAAAAAAAATTTTTTTGTTGTAGAGGTGGGATCTCACTATGTTACCTAGGCTGGCCTTGAACTCCTGGCCTCAAGAGATTCTCCAGCCTTGGCCTCAAAAGTGCTGGGATTACAGGCATGAGCCACTATGCCTAGCTGAAATACTAACTCTTACTATCCCATTTTACAGATGAGAAAACCAAGGTATAAAAAAGTTAAGTAACTTGCCTATAGTCACAAAGCTGATTTCAGCTATCTGTTCCTGGAACTCACCTGTGCCATTTATGGAGTTATCAGTAATGTAATAAAACTATATTCTAAGCCAAGGAAAATAAGAGAAACTTTCTGAGAGTACTTAGTGTTTCTCATCCCCTGGCCCCTAATATAGAACCTTCTAAATTTCTCTAAAACTAGGCCGGGCGTGGTGGCTCACGCCTGTAATCCAAGCATTTTGGAGGCCAAGGCGGACAGATCACCTGAGGTCGGGAGTTCAAGACCAGCCTGACCAACATGGTGAAACCCCATCTTTAAAAATAAATAAATAAATAAATTTCTCTAAAACTATCATTCATTAGCCTAAATATTTTTCTTTGGAAATCTGCTACTTTTGGCTGGGTGCGGTGGCTCACACCTGTAATCCCAGCATCTTTGAGAGGCCGAGGCGGGTGGATCATGAGGCCAGGAGACTGAGACCACCCTGGCCAACGTGGTGAAATCTTGTCTCTACTAAAAATACAAAAAATTAGCTGGATGTGGTGACGCGTTCCTGTAATCCCAGCTACTCGGGAGGCTGAGGCAGGAGAATGGCTTGAACCACGGAGTCAGAGGTTGCAGTGAGCCAAGATCATGCCACTGTACTCCAGCCTGGGTTACAAAGCAAGACTCCATCTCAAAAAATAAAATAAAATAAAGAAGTATGCAACTTTTTCCCTCATATTTTTTAAGAACTTGTAGTTTGTTTCTTACTAAATTCAATCCAAAGGGTTACCTGTTGATAAACACAGGAGGATGCGTCGGCTGAGATTTGGTGAGTTTCCAAAGCAATCAATGATTAGAAAAAGAGAAGTCTAAAGTCAAGACCTTTGACAGCCAGTCCTACCCTGGTATGTCTCACCTTTTTCTCTTAAATAATTTCTAAAATGTCAAAGTTCTTTGCTATCTCACAGGAATAAATGTTTGTGAAGGCTTCTGTAGGCATTAAGTAGTTAATTCTAATTTCATTTTTTTTTTTTTTTTTTAATAAAGACGGGGTTTCACCATGTTGGTCAGGCTGGTCTTGAACTCCCGACCTCAGGTGATCCGTCTGCCGTGGCCTCCAAAGTGCTTGGATTACAGGCGTGAGCCACCACAACTGGCCCATTTTTTTTTTTTTTTAAAACGGAATAAAACTTACATCATCTAACTCTCTCTCCACTTGGATTTTTCTCTTCTGGAATTGTCTTACTGTTTTCAGCTCTGTGTGAATCATGCCGATTTCTTCGGCTTTTTGATGGAACTGTCCCTCTAGTTCATTGATTTGCCTGGTATACTTTTGTTCCTGTATTCAAAAAAGAGGTAAACAAGTTAGGAGAAAGAACAGAAGTCCCACAGAGTAGTTTCATTTAAAGCCTTAATCCATTTGCATATATTCTTTGAAGAAATACCTGCTACTGGCCAGGCATGGTGGCTCACCCCTGTAATCCCAGCACTTTGGGAGGCTGAGGTGGGCGGATCATGAGCTGAAGAGATCGAGACAATCCTGGACAACATGGTGAAACCCACCTCTACTAAAAATACAAAAATTAGCTGGGCATAGTGGCACGTGCCTGTAATCCCAGCTACTCAGAAGGCTGAGGAAGGAGAATAGCTTGAACTTGGAAGGTGGATATTGAAGTGAGCTGAGATTGCGACACTGCACTCCAGCCTGGGCAACAGAATGAGATTCTATCTCAAAAGAAAAAATTTTGGAAAAGTTTCTATATAAGATGATTGCATAGAAAGGAAAAAAATTCAGATGTTTATTAAAAAGGGATATGAGAAGACTAAACATGCCTTTTATCTCTAATATAAATAACATCCCAAACCAAGTTAAAATTAATTAGCTAGGAGTCAAAGGGAGGGTGGTAAACATTCCTAATAAATAAAGAGGTAGGTAGGAGAAAGAAAAAGGTTGAGGAAGAAGGAGGAGGGTGAAAAGGGGAAAGAGACATAAAAGAAGGGAGGAAGAGGAGAAAGAGGAGGAGAAGGAAGAGGAGAGGGAAGTGAAAGCACAATGACAGAGAAAAGGAAGGGGTGAAAAAGGAAAGGCCTTTTTCAAAAACAAAAAATGAACAAAAGATATTAAAAGAAAGGCAAATGGCTGTCAAACATGAAAAAATGTCCAACCTACCTCCTAATAAGAGAAACACAGGCTGAGTGGGGTGGCTCATACCTATAATCCCAGCACTTTGGGAGGCCGAGGTAGGCGGATCATGAGGTCAGGAGATCGAGACCATCCTGGCCAACATGGTGAAACCCCATCTCTAATAAAATACAAAAAACTAGCCGGATGTGGTGGTGCGAGCCTGTAGTCCTAGCTACTCAGGAGGCTGAGTCAGGAAAATTGCTTGAACCCAGGAGGTGGAGACTGTAGTGAGCCGAGATCACTCCACTGTACTCCAAGCCTGGCAACAGAGTGAGACTCTGTCTCAAAAAAA